GGATCAAGGAGCCAGCTCTGGGCAGAGCCTTGTGCTATGGCGCTTTGAGTAGGCGTGAGATAAATAGCTGTCAAGGTCCCTTGCACCTAGGAGCTTACATCCTACGCAGGGCGCAGGGCGGCAAACTTACATTTGCCCAGCACTTGTTTGCCAAGCACTCCATTAATCCTGCCACAACCCCCTGAGGTAAGTCGTTTAAGCTGGGATTATTATCTCAAAGACGTGCCCACTATCGACGTGGGGCGGGAGAGCCTTGATTCAGCAGCGATATTGCAGGGCTTCCACTGACAATGAGATCCGTCTGAACCCACGGAGGGAGGGCTGCGAAGACACAAAGGTCATGGTAGGCTGCATTGGCATAGAGCAGCCCCCCACCCCGCACGCCCCAAGAGATTCTAGTTTGGTAGAAGATCATGCGGGGGATTTTGGGGGCAGGTAGGACCAGACAGGTGTGAAAGCGCCCCTTGCTCTCTGAGTGGGTACGGTCCTGATTTGAGAGAGTGAGGGTTTGGATAGGGAGGGCTACCTATATTTGGAAAAACTTCTCAAATGATTCTTAGTCGCACCTCTCCCCGCCACACATATGCACATCCAGTTGAAAATAATAACACTACGTGGCACGCGGTGTGCTTTACAACAACCCTATGGGGCTGGCACCATCGTCATCCCCATTTTCCAGGGAGGAAGCTGAGGCTCAGAGGGGGTTCAGCAAACTAAGACGACGCAGCTAGAAAGTGGCAGGAGCCAAGTTTTAAACAAATGTCGGATCTTGGTCCCGGGCCCTTGCTGTTAACCAGTAGGTTCAGCGCATCTGATGCTGAGTTCCTGAAGGAGGCGGAGAGAGAATGGGCATCCTAGGTTGGTTCGGGTGCCATGGGGTCACCTTGAAGCAGCCCCAGAGAGGAGTGAAGAGGATGGGGAGGGCATCTGGAAGTCACATCATATGCACAACAGCTGGATAGCTCGGGCTGGTTAAGTGGGGGTGATCTATAGGGGAGCCCTTGTCAACCTGGGGAGTACTTGACACCTGTAATAGTATTTGGCTTGGAGGGTTGGGGTGGGGAAGCAAGTTGACTTCAAGCAACTGTCATGTAGGGGAGGGGGATGGGTTCCGGGTGGCCAGGAATGATGGGAAACAGATAAATGGAAGGTTTGGGTTCATTCCAAGGAAGGCATTTTTGATATTCAGATGGTACTAGTTCAGCCCTGGTAAGAAGTGAGCTTCCTGGCTCTAAAAATGTTCAAGCAGAGACCATATAGTCTCTTGGAAATATCTGGGCATTTCCAAAGTGAAGTCCACTTTGGTAGCCCGACCCGTTAGCAGATTTAATGGTGGTGATCTTGGGCAGGGAGGGCAAGAAGAACAAAAGTGCAGGTGGGAGAACGAGGGCAGAGCAGAGCAACAGCGGCCGGCAGGACGCACCCATTCCTCATGCACACGGACAGACGGCACACGCGGAGGTGGCAGCTCTGGCAGCCCTGGGGAGCCCCTGGCAGCAGGGGCTGATGGGAGGGAAGGACAGTCATCTCTGAATCTCTGAACTCGTGATAAGGTCTTGGTTTAAAAACAAAAAACACCTGCAGGCAGCTGTGACAATTAGCATCAGGAGAGGCAGCCGGGCTTTGGTGCTCGGATGAAAACACACTCACACTGCAGGGCCTTTCCATGGGCTCCTCTGCCTAGGACTCTGTCCCAAGGTTACAAGGACAGAGGTCGCTGAGCAGTCTAGGGGACGATTGTCTAAGGCTTTGGGAAGAAGGGGAGCAGGAGAACACCTCCCAGAAATGGAGGCAGGTGGAACTGGATTCAAATCACCATACATCGCCTACTGGCTGCATGACCTTGGGCAGAGAGCTCTGGTGAAGACAGGAACAGTGATAATGCGGGCCGTGTTTGTGGGGAGGAGTGGGGGGTGTGCGTGTGTATGTGCATGCCTGTGTGTGTGTGAGAGAGAGAGTAACCAGTTAACAGATGACACGTACAGAAAGAGGGCCCTCAGCCAGCACTCAGCTCATGGAAGGTGTGGTACCTGGTGGGTAACTGTGCATCAGTTCACTCCAGGCTCCACTCGGAGTTTCTCTCTTGCCTTGGCACCTGCTTCTACATCTCATCTGGGCCCCATCTGAATCGCTACTGCAAGGCCCTGTGGCCCATATCCTGTGTCTCTCTACCTTGTCAAGGGCAGGGTCCCTCGGCCCAAGCTATTCTAGAACACAGGAGGGGTGACAAGCGAGAGGGCCTACAACTACTTGGGACGCTCGGAGGGAAATGATCTTGTCAGCTTCATGGCCTTGCCATGGACCCCTGGGGCTTTCTCAACCCCCCATCCCACCCCACTTGAGCTGCTTGCTCAGTTCCTGTTTCACAAAGAAACAAGGAAGTGAGGAGATGGGTCGGCCTCAGGGCCAGGCTGGCTGAGCAGGTTGGGGAGTGCCTCCCACTCCGAGCTGAGAGCCCTGGAGGGCAAGGATGCACAGGGAAGAAACAGTTGCTATTGAATCTTTCATATTTCTAGTTTTTTTCTTTCGTACCAAGAGCACCCGGCCATTGATTTGAGGAAGTGCCCAGTGAGTTGGTAAAATTCACTGCTGACGTGGTCTAGCGGGGTGAGGAGCAGCCAGTCCTGTCCCCTCCATCGTCCCAGCCCATGAAGAGCTGGAGCTGGCTGGCTGGCAAGTGAGACAGGACTGACTGAATTATGGTTTTAGACTTTGTGTATGTATGTATGTATCAACTTACGCGTGCTCTTTCCTGTTCCAAACAAGATTTAAAGTGTCCAGAAATGCAGCTCAGTCCCATCATCACCACTGGTGTCACAGCTGTGTGACCTCAAACAGGTCTCCTTGGGCCTCAGCTTGCTCATTAGAAGGTGGCAAGTTTGTGACAGAAGCTCACACCGAAAGCGAGAGAGGGGCCAGCTCAAAGCTGAGTCAGGATGCTGGGGATTTAATCCCAGCTCTGGCCCCAACATGCTGTGTGACCTTGGGCAAGTCCCTTCCCTTTCTGGGCTGCTGTTGCAGTGTCCTCGTCTGTACACTGAAGGGGCTGAAGTGGCTTTTTGCTTGTTTGTTTGATCATGGGGTTCCAAGTCAGGGATGGCTGTGGGACTTTCAGGGCCTGGTACAAAATGAAAATGCAGGGCCCCTTGTTCAAGAATTCTTAAAAATTTCCACATGGTGACAGTGGAGCCTTAAACCAAGCACGGGGCTCTTCTAAGCACAAGGCCCTGCACGACGGCACAGGTCAATTCCCCAGAAGTTGGCCTTGTAACCACTTCCAATACGATTTTATGAGAAGCCTACATGGGCTGTTTTTGGCGGGAGCTCTGCTGTCCATGCAGCCCTTGTGGCATTTCTAAGGAACCTCAGGCTCGAGGGAGCATAGCTAGAAAAAGACAAATTAGATACTTGCTCAAAAGCCTGTCTAGTTTTGATGATTTATATATACAATTCAGGTCTCAAACCTTTTCGTTACCTGCCTCCAAAGGTAAGGCAAGAGTTGAACTCATGCTGAGTGAATAATAGCGTTACCATCTCTTGTCTGTGTGGCTTCCTGGCTTACCCAGAGCTGGCACATCCTGTTCTTTTGGGCCTCTCACTGTAACCTCATGAGGAAGGCGGTACAGGTAGTTTACAGAAGGAGTAATTGAAGACCAGAGAGGTGAAGTGACTTGCCCGAGGCCACACAGCTAGCACAACTGGAACTAGAACCCCAGAATCCTAACTCCAGGAAAAGGAGTTTTTCCACAAGGCCCGCTCCACAGTGGCCTTCAGCAGGGGAGAGGAGTTTGGTAAGCTCTGTCCTCTAGCATAAAAACGAAGGATCAGAACCCAAGGAGGCATTTATTTCTCTTCAATTCCTCATGATGTCTCAAGTGCCCCTGCGTGTCTTAGCCCTGCTGGGTGTGCCCTGAATGTATCCTGCCCAATCCAGAGTGGAGCCCTTAAAGCAGGATGCTCAGTGTGCCGACCATCAGGGGTCCAGGAAGGGAGGGGCTGGGGTGGCAGCGGCCCCCTCTGCAGCCATGCTTCTGGGTGGGGTTCTCCATCCCAAGATGGGGGTTGCAGGGGCAGTGAAGTTAGGAGGAGGAGAAGAGGCAGAGGCCAGGGTCGTGCACTGAAGGGAGTAAGGGGAACGCGTGAGCTGCCCTGGGCGGCAGTGTCTGCGAGTGGGTCTTGGTCAGGCACCCGGGTCCTTCAGCTGCCCATGGCCTGCCGGAGTCCCAGGAGCGAGTGTCAGGGCTCCAAAGTGCAGGCCTTGGCCTGCAGGCCCTGGGGAAGCGGGATGGTCTGGAGAACACCTGTTGGGTCTGAGTCCCAACTCTGCTTCTCACCAGCCGTTATGATCCTGGTTCAGCCTTGGTTTTCTCATCTGTAAAATGGTGAGAGCCATACCACTTGCCCTTTTCTAAGAGAGTGGGTTCTGGAATCATCTGACTGGTTGTTTTGTTTTTTTGGCGAGGATGATTGGCCCTGAGCTAACATGTGTTGCCAATCTTCCTCTTTCTGCTTGAGGGAGATTGTCACTGAGCTAACATCTGTGCCAGTCTTCCTCTATTTTATGTGGGACGCTGCCACAGCATGGCTTGATGAGTGGTGTGTAGTTCCAGGCCAGGGACCCGAACCTGTGAACCCCAGCCGCCGCGGAAGCAGAGCCCGCCAACTTAACCATGACGCCACCTGGCTGCCCCTCATCAGACTGCTTTGAATCCTGCTTTTTTCATTTCCTTGATGAGTGACCTTGAGCAAGTTAGTTAATCTCTATGAGCCTCACTCAGTTCCCTCACCTGTAAAATGGGAATAATAAAGGTACCTTCTCATAGCTGGTGGGGATCAAGTGGGAAAATGAAATAATGTCTTGTACACTTAAAATTGATTAAGAGGGCAGATGAGATGTGTCATGTTCTCACCACAATAAAATAAACCAATTTAAAAATGAATGCACGTCCAGCGCAGTGCCTGGTACATACTGAACACTCAGTGCATGGCAGCTCTGATGCTGCTGATGACGACGAACTTTATTAGTAGTAGCTGTCTTTGTGGGGCGAGCAGGGGAGAGAGCAAATGACTCGGCACCCAGGGGCTGCCTCTTGGCTGCTACAGGTTCTCAGCGAGGGCGGGTCCGAGGTGGGGCCTTCGGATGCAAGCATCGGTGGTGGTAACTGTCACAGGTCACCCTGACACTTGGCAAACTAGGCCTGCTGGTCCCAGGCGGGAGGACTCCTCTGCCGGGTGTCTTTGCCCAGCACTCTACCCCAGAGACTTGGCTCTCTCCTCCCTGACTGTGCTCCGCTGAGCAAAGGTGCTAGCCCCGACTTTCCTGGGCCACATTCAACAAGTCCCTCAGTGTGGGACTCCCGCCTGTCCCCTCCACAAGGCTACACCACCTTTAGCACAGGAGGTGCTTGGCTGGGCGTGGCATGCATGTGAATAGATGAACGCTCGCACACGTACATGCACGCATGCTCACATGCACATTCTCAAGCACATGCGCGCCCGGCTGAGCTTCTGGGAGCTGCACATCGCCGCCCCCACCTCGCCCCTCCCCTTCTTCCCCCACCACAAAACCCACAGGTAACAGCAGTCCCCAGCAACACAGCAGACACAATGCAAAACCCAGAGGCAGGCTTCGTTGCCAGGCTGTTTTAAGCATCTAGCAGGATGTGAGCCCAGGTGGCTAACGGCTGGGCCAGCCGGAGAAAACTTCTCACCTCCCCCCAACCCCCAGCGGGCTCAGCGAACGAGGAGGGGGCGGGAGGCAAGCTAAGGGATTCTGCATGGTGCTGAAGGGCAAAAGAGCTGGACTGGCAGCCCATTCTGGTCCCACCAGGTTCCACCCAAACACTGGGGGTCCTTGGGCAGGTCCCACGCCTGGATGGAGCTCAGCTTTCCTGGTTATAAAATGGCCAAATCAGACTCTGCCCACCCAGGTTTTAAAGGCCATCCAAGGATCCTGGAGGATTGAACAGCACTGTCACTGTGGCTGCACTTTGGAAAGTTAAAAGGGCCACCTGCATGCTGGGAAGTCTGGGATAGTGATTGGGCGCCACCGCTCAGGTTGCTCCCACCTTCGGGTGGGGCCATATTCCAGAGGGCTCCCCGCATTCCCTCCTTCCCCGTGGAGAAATTGCTATGGCGCAACTCCCTATCCTGTCGACTGGCACGGGACCACCCTGCGTTTAGGGGTGCTGAGCTCACCCATGGAGGGGGCCGCTGTATGTGCCCCTTCTCTGACTGGTCTCCCTGACCCTTGGGGTGGCAGTATGAAACCAGAGGACTGGGCCACCCTCCCTTCCTCTCCCACTACAGGCACAGTAGGGAGCTCTTTGTTCCTTCAGTCTGTGGGCTGCAGCCATTGTGGAGGCCACTGTAAGGCGGGGATAGGCGGGGGTGGCCAGAGGCAGCCTCAAGGGCATGGGAAGACCAAGAATTCAGGAGCCACTGGGTGGGAACAGCTCTGGTCTATCCAGCAGGTGGTGATGGCAGGGCTCGCCCAGGGCCATGGGTGGGGCACTGCCATATTGGTCCTTTTTTTGGGGGGGCAGCGGCAGCAGGCTCTTCCAGGTTATAGGTTAGGCCTATTGGGCTCACAGTGGGAAAGGGACTAGCTGGTTCTCCTATTCCAGGGCTGGGGGTTGGGAGCCAAGGATGAGGTGTAAGAAGGGCCAAGAAGCCCTGTGTCCCCAGGGCTTGGTCCTGGGGAGGAGGCTGAGGGCAACGGTTTCCAGGCAGTGGGCTGGCAGGGGCTCTTGGGGCATGGGAGTTGCAGGGTGAGGGGAGCTGAGTGAGAGGGTCAGTAGAGGAGTCCCGAGCCTCTAGGCGCTCCAGCCGAGGATGGCAAGCACAGAGACTGCCAACAGAGAGACCAGGGAAGCGGCGCGCGGGGCCCTCGCAGAGAGGGGCTCTGTGTGCTGTTGCAGCCATGCAAACTCCTCCAGTAGCTGGCGCCGCTGCAGCTCGGGGCCCACCTTCTCGCGGATGGTCTGGTAGTAGCGGTTCACGTACTGGAGCTGCAAACGGTCGAAGGGGTGAGCCCCACCCCCCCAAGCCTTGCTGCCAAGAGGGGAGGTCTTGGTGCCATCCCATCCCCTGCTGCGGTACTCCAGCTGCCCACTTTAGCCCAGGTCCCCAGAGGTCCCCACAGGTCCCCAGACATCAGCAGGCCACAGGCACGCTCTGGGGCTTTCCAGAGGCAGTGCACCATGGTGGCTGTTTAATGTCCTAGTGATTTCATGCGGTGGGTGGGGGCGGGAGTGCATTTCAGGCCCAGGAATGACAGTAAGTAGGGAAGGCGTTATCACCCCCATTTTACAGAAGGGCAGACTGAGGCCCAGAAAGAGGAAGGGATTGCTTATAGTTCTAGGACTTGAGGTGGCAGAGTCCAGAAACCCAGTCTCAGACTCCCCAGGAGTTCACTACCTGGGGTTGGGCAGGCTAGTCTGACTGGAGAGTTCTAGAAACTCTGAGGTCTCCAGTGAGTGGGGGAGGGAAGCCCCAGTGTGTGCCTACAGGTGCCACCAGTGTGGAACTCCCCAGGGGAGGGGAAGGGGCAGAGGTTCTTGGGGTAGGGGGAGCAGAGGTGAGAGGGGCCCAGGGTCGGGAGAAGGCAGGCAGTGGTTCATGGACTGAAGGTGGACAGTGCTGAGGGGCACTCACCTGCTCAGGGGACAGCAGGCTGACATCGATGAGATTCCGGTCATAGGGCACCAAGGACACCACTTCAAAGGCCAGGTAGGTCCCTGGGTACTGGGAGGCCACAGGGAAGGTGGGAAAGCAGGAAGTGAGCAAGGAGGAGGAGCTAGGCTGAAGGGGGGGCCAGAACCCTCCACCCAGAAGCTGAGGGCACAAGGAACTGACCTTTGTCAAGTCCAAGACTCAAGGAGGGCCTGAGTCCCCCACAGTGCCCGCGGCCACCCCCGTCTACCACTTAGTGCCCTGCCTTTGCTGCTTCCCTCCTGATTCCTGAAGGTAAACTTAGGGCTGTGTTTCTCAAAGTGTGCACATCCATTGCACCCAGCTTGTCAAATAAGTGGATTCCAGGGCCCAACCCCAGGCCACTGGAGGGACAATCTCCGGGGCAGTGCTGGGAGCCTAGATTTAAATAATTTAAAGATAAGTATTAGGTTTTTATATCTGTCTGTCTACTCTATGTCTCTATCTATATATCTCTATCTCTGTCTCTCCATATCTCTGTCTATGTATCTATCGATGGATCTATCTATAGAGATAAGTATAAAGAAGAAAAAATAGCCCCAAATTGCCATCTTCCAGAGAGCTCTTGCATGTACATGCTTAGAAAATTCAAACTACAAAAAGATACACAATAAAAATTCAGTGTCCTCCCCTCCCGGTTTCTTTCCTGAAAATATTTTAGGCATATACCCTATATACATGGATATATTTTAGCAAGTCATGCAAAATGGATCCCACCATACACTTTTCTGCGCCTTCCCCTGCCGAGTAGTAAGCCTAGGCCAGCGCTCCATGTCAGCCCCCGGAGAGCCAGCTCGTTCTTTATAGGGGCCGCATAAAGGTCCACAGAATGTGGATGATGATTGATTTATGCAGTGACGACTGTTTGAGCTGTTCCCACTTTTTAAACTGTTACCATCAATACTACAATCAACATCGTTGCATAAACTTATCTTGGTGACCTTTTGGGACTATATGCAGAAGGGACGTACCCGGCAGAGGGAATGCTGAGACAAAACGCACAGGCATTTTTAATAGGTATTTTGATAGATATTGTCAAACTGCTCTCCAGAAAGGTTGTGGGGATTTGTACCGCCCCCAGCGGGAGAGAGTGCCCGCCTCCCCGAGACTCACCAGCCGTGGGGATCACCAAAGGCTCTCCTCTTTACCAATCGCGGAGGAGAGACGTGGTGTTCTATTGTGGTTGATTTATATTTCTTTAAGGATAAAGCTGAGCATCTTTCCATCTTTATGGACCATTTGTGTTGATCTTAGTGAACTGCCTCTTCATATCCTTTGACTGTTTTTTTCGGTTTTCCCTATTTTTGTCTTATTGATTTGTAAAAGCGGATGGTAATAATAGAAGGAAAGTCACCCTTTCTCTGACATATGTGCTATATTCGTCATACGCCTTTTGACTTTACGGTAGCGTTTCCCTATAGACATTTTGTATTGAATTTAGTCAGAATCACCCATCTTTTTCCTCATGGTTTCTGGGTCTTGCATAGAAAGGCCCTTTGCCATCCTGGGATTACAAATGAATTTATATAGGCTTTTTTCTAGATCTTTTATGGTTTTACCTTTAAATCCTAATCCATTTGGAATCTTATTTGGGTGTAACAGTGAGATTCTTGAATTTAATGTCCCCTAAATTATTAGCGATTTGTTCCCCCTGCCCATTTATTAAACAATTTCTCTCTTCTTTATTGTTTTGAAACACCAGTTTTGTTGTAAAGTAAATTCCCATTTCACTTATGGAACTTAGAGGGTCTACTTCTGGGCTAACCATTCTGTCTCTCCCATCTCTGAGGTCAGACTGTTTTCATTCTGGAAGCTTCTGAGTATGTGCTAACATCTGAAAGGGCTAGTTGCCCTTCTTGCCCCTCTTTTCCAGAATTTTCCTAGTTACCTAGGTATCTCTGCATGTTTGTTTTTACAAATAAACTTTACTGTCCTTTTGTGAAGTTACAAAAGTATCCAGTTAGCATTGAACTTGAGGTTGTCTTGAATTTATAGATTTAGGGAGAATTGACATCTTCATAATATTGAGGCTTCTTTCCAGTGAGCACCATTTACGTAAATCTTTTTTATGTTTCTCAGAAGAGGTTTTCTCCATGTAAGTCCTTTTAAGTTTATATCGAGGTGTTTTATCTTGCTGGCGCTATTAGATGGAATGTTTATTTCTAACAAGCTCCCCCAGGATTATTCTGTGCATTGGGAACCAATGATTTAGGGCAGGGTGCTCATTCATTTGGGCTGGAGAGGGGCCTGGGCATTGGCATTTTAATAACAAAGCTCTCCAGATGATTCTAATATTCCCATGTGCAAACAGGTTTGAGAAACTGATGTTTGGTATTTTTCTGGAGTTAAGGAAGATTCCAAATAAATTCATGCCCACACATTAAATGCCTTTTTCCTTTGACCTTCCTTACCCGCGCCCCCCCTCCACGGCCCAAGGTCACTGCCATGCTGTCCACACCTCCAGTCTGTCCCAGTGGCACTTTACCTTGGTTTCTGCTTCTACCACGAGGGCTATATCTTCAATACGGACCCCAAATTCTCCATCCTGATAGTAGCCAGGTTCTGGGAGACACAGAGATACTGGTGGCGTTAAGCACGGGGTGGACCCAGGCCCGGGCTTCCTGTACCAATTGAGGAATGGCTGGAAGGTTCCAGCTGCCTGGCCGCCCCCTGGCTGTTGGCTGGGGCAGACCCACCACTTGTTAGACGCTCATTGGCTATGCAGAGACATCCTGCTGGGCCTCAGATCCCCCAGCCTCCCCTGTAGCCCAGCCAGGATGATTTAAGAGCCCACTCGGGTCCTGGAGGCATTCCCGTCTCCCTGTGGGCCACTGTCCTGTTGCCCCAGAATTTGACTGGAGACTCCGGACTTTGGATGTACAGCTGGGAACCAACTCCCAAGGGCAAAATGAGGGCATGAGCTGAAGGGGCTTGGGGTTGAGGGGGCAGTCCATTTGTGGCTGGGGGTGGGGAGGTGAGGGAGTGCCTGTGCCTGGCATGCTCCCTGAAGGCTGGAGCTCCCTAGACTGCAGTCCTGGACTAGTCTTGGGGTGGGGAGGGGGCGGAGGAACCCGAGAGCCATACCGATGGAAGTGAACATGCCCTTGGCCATGGCAATGTTGCTAGACTGGAATCCCACTGGCCCTGGAAAGGGAGACGTAGGCACGTCAGCTCTCCTGTACTCACCAGCTTGGAAACGAACAGGCTCTGGCGGGAGCAGGTAACTGGGGATCCCTGGGCATTACTGTTTACCTGGGGCTACACAGGCCAGATTGGCTCTGGCTTTCATTTCTCTGGGGGCCATGCCAGTCAGCCATTAGGCCTTGACCCGCCGCTCCTCTCTGTGGGGCCTCCTGGATGCCAAGCAGGCAGCAGGAGTTGCCAGCTGCCAGCATTTCTCACTTACCCTGTGAAGTGTCCCTTCTTACCGGCTGGGCAACCTTGGGTGGGTCACTGCACCTCTGTGGGTCTTGGTCATTTCCATACCTGTGAAATGCTCTACCTCCTTTGTAAGAGGGGGGACCCCAGGGGAGTGCTGGGGAGACACCTACACTCATGCACACACAGGAAGTTGCCAATGCCATGGCCTGTCCCGTGGTAATAATTGAGCCCAACGTCCCACAAGGCTTTGCGAGCAAAGGCCTCCACCATTCGCCCTGGAAGAGAGATGGCCTCCAGTCAGTCAGCTGGACCCCGGACTGTCGTCCACCTCACCCCTTCCTGCTCTCTTGTCCCAGAGCCACCTACCAGGATGGTACCTGCAGAGAGTGGCTCCTGAGAGGCAGGTGAGCACACAGTACCTCCAGCACACTCTACGTTGTACCCATTACCTGGACTGATCACGCTACTGCAATTCCTCCCCGGCCACCAGGACACCTACTTCCTCCAGGGACCCTCCCCTGACTGCCACAGCCCATGCTGACCTCCCCCGCCTCTGAGCTCCAGCGTTAGACTAGGAGGCAGGAGGCCCGGGTTCAAGGCCCGTCTCTCTCACGAACCCTCTGTGGCACCTTGGGCAAGTTGCTTTCTCTCTCCAGGCTGGATTATCCAATCTACACGGTGGATGGGATGATGGCATAATCCCCGCCCCACAAGCCTCCCAGGGTGCTGGTCTGGGTCCAGGGAAATCGGGGCCTGAGGCTCTGGGTCCAGCCTGGTCTCTGAAACCCACCTGATGTAGCAGCAGGAAACACGAGTCTGGACAGATCGATGTTGCCTATCAACACACGGGTATACGCCTCCTGATGGGGAGGGGGAGAGGCAATGTGGCGCACAGGGCGAGGGGCCTGGGGACTTTCCAGCTGCTCAGCGTGTGTACAGGTGGGTGCGGGGGCCCAGCCTGTGGCGGGGTGGCTGGGGGGAGGTGCATGCTCATGTGTGATCACCCAGGTCCTGGAAGATGGCCAGAGGAGGCCGAGGGGGGCCTGCCCAACACTGGGGCTTGGTCTGTGTGGCTTCTTGGGCTGGTCCACAGGGACGCTTGTAGGTGGTGGTGAGCTGAGGCCGTGACAGTAGGCAAGTGGGAAGTAAAGTGCCTGGGCTGGAATCCTGACTTGGCCACTCCCAAACTGAGGCCTTGGCCTTGGGCAAGTGACTTTAACTGCTCTGTGCCTCACTTTCCTCATCTGTCATGGGACGACCACAGTACCAGCTCATAAGGTTGCTGGGAGGAGTAGGTAGACTCATTCACATAAGGTGCTCCAAACAGTAAACGCTCAAGTGGAGGTGGGCGCCCTTATTGCCATCATCATGATCAGCCCTGAGTTTTCTTAAGGCCTTAAGTTTCGGTTGAGGCCTGATAATCTGGCGGGTTGGCCTTGCCCTGTCAGGGCTGTCACCTTGTGGAAAGAGGGAAGGAGGTGGGCTGACAGTGGCCTCTTCTGGTCACTCCCTGTGGTGATGTGGTCAGTCTCCTTCACCACACACACACACACACACACACGCGCGTGCATGCACACACACCCCACACGCACACACACGCACAGGCTTGTCATCTGTGCGACAGCCTGGGGCAGTAGACTCAGCCTGCTAAGCTGTGAGCTCCTTGAGTCCTGACCAGCATTTGTTTTTTTCTTTCTCTTTCTAGCACAATGTTGGAGCCACAGTCTGCTTGCTGAGTGCAGGAATGTGGCCCCCTGCTCCCCAGCTCTCCCAGACACTCCTCAGCGCACACAGACACTGTCCCAGCCTCTGCCCCGGGGGACCAGCCCTCGCTGCTTCCTGAAAACCTCCAGCTCCTTTCCACCTTCAGACTTTGCATGTGCCATTTCTCTCCACCTGGAATGCCTTTCTTCCTCCTTTCTGCGGAGCACAGGGCTAGGCACACAGACAGCACTAAATAAATATCTGTTCATTGATTTACTGAAATGGCATGATGATAAGCTTTGGCTGAGGCCCTGCTGTTGGCCTGAAATATCTCTGGGGGAGTAGCTGGGGGCACTGGGTTTTCTGGTACTGACTGGCTGTGTGCCTTTAGGCAAACTACTCAGCCTCTCTGGGCCTCGTTTTTATTCGCTGTAAAATGAAAGGGCTCTTGGTGAAATGATTGCTTGGGTGTCCCTTGGGTGAGGGTGCATAGGGAACTCTGGGTCCAGTGCTTACCTTTTGGAAGGCAGAGGGGGTGCCCCAGTGGACTGTTCTGGTAATGTCTGTTGTTCCGTCCCTGGGGAGAAGGAAAATCAACATGCCCAGCTCTGCTGAACACTTGGGGGTAAGGATTGTGGCCATGTGCTTCTCGTGTGCTCTCCCCCGGGGTTTGAGTGGCAGGGCTGGGATGGGGAGGGGTGAGAGGTGAAAGGAAGAAGAGAGCTGCCATTATTGAATTCCCATCTTGAGCGTCTGTGCGCCAAGGGGCTCTGCGGAGCCGCCAAGTTCAAAATCGCTGTTGTCTGACAATGCCCAGTCTCCACAGGCATATTCCACCCCTACGCCACTCATTTGGGCTGTTTTGTAAATCTGGGTTTCCTTGGGTCGGGCAGCCTGGCTCTAAAAGCAAGGGTTCTTCCGGGCTTCCTGAGAGGCAGGCGGGGATCGTCCCATTTTTACAGATGGGAAACTGAGGCCAGAGAGATCATAACACTCTCACACATTCATATAGTTATTCCCCATTTATAGAACACTTTTGCAGCTCCCTGGGCAGGGAGGGCACGGCAGGGCAGGCCTCAATACCCCTATTTCACAGGCGAGGCAACTGAGGCCACGAGGCCGTCTCCCTCTCCGAGCCTCAGTGCAGCCAGGCCTGGCGCGAGCACTGACTCTCCACACAGTTCTCTCCATTGTAAACGCGGGCCTGACCCAGGGATTAGCTCAGAGTCACTGCGAACCGCAGGCAGGAGCCAAAAAGTCTGACTCCCAAACACCGGTTGCAGCTGTGCCCCCAGGACGGCACCTGTGGCCACCCCTGGTGGAGGGGGAGGGGAGAAATGGTCTCAGGGCCCTGGGGACTCCTTCTTGGGAGCAGGTCACAGGGCGTGGCCGACTTCTTCAGAAGGAGAGAAGGGGAAGTGAGGTGACCATTTCCCGGGCCTCACCCTGCTCTGAGCAGCCCCAGTCCAGGAACGCCCCACAAATTCACTTCCCCTTTGCACACTGGCCATCTCAAGTTCACATAGTGCTGCGCCTGTGAGTAGCCAAGACTGCCAGGCTGGCTCCCAGAGCTGCGCCAGGAACAAGCCGAGAGCGTCTGTCTTCAGCACATTCACCATCGCCACAGGACAGAGGATGGGAAACTGTTCAAAAGACTTGCTCCTCCATCGGTTCAGCGCACCCCTTCCTTTCCCCCTCTAAGCTTCCCGCAGTCTACTTGCATCCTAGATGAGAAGGCAAAATCTTCCAGCTCATCCCATCTCAGCTCCTGTATGAAGGATTGGTCACATATTTGGAAGCAAAGGGGTTAGCCTATTCTGCACGTCTGTCATGTCTAGGTGTTCAGGTTGTGCACTGTACAAGGGTAACACATCTAAAGGGGTGCTGTTCACTTCATAGTTATATACTAATTTCAACGAGTGCACACAAGTGGACATACAGATTGTGGAGTCCTGGAGCAGGGGAGCATGCCCTCCCACATAACCCTATATGTGGTCACGCACACACCCAGAAGAGCACGCACACATATTTCCTCACAGACACATACCTATGCTGATGGGTGTGTCCCGTCCCAACTGTGCTCTGGGTGACCCCCTGAGGTTGCTTCTCTCACCTGCCTGCTGCTCTTCAAGGCCTGATCCTGCCCCTCCCCTGACATGTCCCCTCTCCCATGCAGTTGGGGGAGAGGCTTCTGAGGAGGATGCACAGTGCTGGAGGTGTGCAGGCCATGTCCAGGGTGTGCGTGAGTGGTTGAGAATATGGGTGCAGTGTTTTGTGCAGCCAGGCAGGGCCACTAGGTCTGGCTGTTCCGAATGTGTGATAATACACGGGCTTAAAGAACATTTCACTCGAGCAAAGGGAGTCCCCTGACTCTCATAGAGGTGCTACACGGGCAGCCCCACTCTTCTGGCCTCGGTGTGTTTCCCACTGTGTGGAAGCCCCGAAGTGTGAAGATGGGAAGGATGCTCAGGCTCATTCAGTCCAGGCCTGTCCTTTCTCAGATGAAGAATCCCCGCCCAGGAAGGGGAAGCTTTGGCCGGCTCTTGGCCAGCCCAGGATGTCTGAGCTGAGACAGCCAGGCATAGTGGGGGCAGGGAGTACATACCAGTATTGCCCCCCAGAATCCACCAGGTACATCTCATCTGAGGACAGCTTGCGGTGCAGCTCCTTGGTCGGGCTGGGAAGGGGAGAGAGGCTGAGAAAGGAGCAGCGCAACCCGGAGCTGGGTGGGGTGGGGGTCCTGGGGGTTGAGCTTCTACGCTAACGCCTTTGGGGAAGTCATCCTCTCCCAAACGGCCCTGGGCGAGGACTGAGCTGCTGCTGCGAACGTCCTCAGTGTGCAGCTGTTTATCCTGCGCCTCACTAATCAAGGCTCTGGGCCCCAGGGAGGGGATAAGGGACAGAGCCCAGCATGTGGGGGCTGGGAGAGCCTCAGAGGGCACGCAGTGCGGCCATCTCCTTTTCCGGAGGAGAAACAGGCCCGCAGAGGAGAAGGAGCTCGCCCGAGACCACGCAGCAAAGCTGTGAGCGCGCTGCGCCTGGACCAGATGCTCAGTCCCCAGCCCTTTCTCTAACTTCCTGCTGCCTCCGAGAGCAGAGGGCCCTGAGAAGCCAGGGCACAGGAAGGGAGGGTGCCTGAGGGTGGGGCTGGAGAGCAAGAGTTGGTGGGGCCGACACTGCCACTCTCTAGTGGGGTGAAGGGGCTGAGCTACAGCAGCTGAAGGCTTGGGAGACGCCTGGGGAGGGAATTCTGGGAGAGGCTGGGTGGGCCCTTGGAGGGGTCTGACCTCTCCCTGCTGTACCCAGGCCAGGCTGAGGCATCTGGTCAGCTTGGCACCCCCAATTTTGTCAGGCAGGGTTGCAGGTGTTTTCTTTGGAGTGAAACATCTGGCCAGCCTACATCTTGGGCCCACTTTGGCTGGTTCAGGCTGAGCGAACTGGCCTTTCTCCCCATGTGCTAACGAGCTTTAAGAATTAGCTAACGTAGGTCACTCATAGCGAGCCAAGGAAACGCATCCAGCAGCAGCTCTGCCTCCCTTCCAGATCCTTCAGCCCTGAACGCTCACAAAGTCCCAGTCACTTGGGGGGGAAAACTGCTCAGGCCTTTTCATTCCAAGGAGACTCCCAACCCCTGACTGGGCTCCACCCCCACCCCCAGCCACCGCAGTGCCAAGGGCCTCAAAGCTTAAACATGGACTCAGATCCCAGAGCATTCCCTTCTCCACCCCCCCCCCCACATACACCAGGCTCCCCCCACAGAGCCCTAGAAAATTCTTTCTTCTAAAGTACCTGTAGTGGGCCAGGGCAGCATTCAGGCCACTAGCAGAGATGGTTTCAAAACTGGGTCCAGAGGAGAACTCTTCTTCTCTGCAAAGTACAAGGCAGGAATGGTCAATAAATGGGCTCAGGGGCTAGGCTGGGCCCAGGATCGCTAACAAGGGCAAATGAAGGTCACGGCTGTCTCTGCCTCCGCCAGACTCCACTTGGCTCCTCCCAGCACATCTCCTGGTTCCATTTTCCCAAGCCCTGACCACTTACAGAGCACTCAAGGTCAGAGAAAGAGGGGCTGGAGACACCAATTATTCCCCTCCCCCTCTATTTTACAGATGGGGAAAGCAAGGCGCGTGCCGCCCACAGTGAGTTCGTGATAAAGCAAGAGTGAAGAAGCCTAGCTCCCTGAGTCCGAGAACTCCCCACCCCTGGAGCAGCATCCTGCACCTCAGACCTACAGTCTCCCACGGTCTGGGGAAGCGTGTCCTCAGGACGGCTCCCTCCCCAACTTGATATTCTCAAGGGGTCCAGGGGCCCACCCGGCAGAGCCCGCCTCCTGCAGGGAGAGAGGCCACGCCTGAAGCAGACACTAGGGGGCGCTGTTGGGTCGTGGCCATCAAGTGGTCGCGGGTCTGGGGAATGTCGTCCAATGCCCCCTGCCCAGCTCCCCGATCACCCAAGACCCCATCACTCCTGGTCCCAGAGAGGCCCCTAAATACAAGGAAGGTCTTCCTGCCCGCTAAGTAAGAAGACCAATGCCCCCTCCCTGCCCCCACTAAAAGGCGGTCAGCCGCAAAGGGGGGGCGACGTCCTTCACCCTCGGAACTTGTCCAGCAGCTCGGCCCCCGAGAACTCGTCCACCGCGCCTGAGGGCACGTTCTTCTCCAGCCAGACCAGGTATCGGATCACGGCCACGGCGTCCCGCACCTGCAGCGGGGAGCGGGAGCGGGGAGGCGGCTGCCGAGGGCGCTCGCGGGGCCGGGGGAGGAGAGCGGAGGGCGGCTCCGGGAGCGGGAGCCGGGCTTTCAAGACGCCAGGCTCGGCGCTGGCTGCTTCATGGTATTAAGGGATTCCTGTTTTTTATGTATATGATCATAGCGTGGCCGTGTTTCTTACAGAGTTCTTATCTTTTAGAATTACTCCCTGAAGTGTTGACAGAAGAAACGATATGCTCTCTGGGATTCGCTTTAAAATCATCCAGCGGCAGAGGGTGAGAAGGGCGGATAAGGACTGTGGGGCCGTAGATGGAACGGGATTGGCCCCGAGCTGACGACTGTTGGAGCTGGCCCATGGTACACGGGGACCGTTATGCTATTTTGCCCACGTTTGTATATGTTTAAAATTTTCCATAAGGAAAAGTCTTTAAAAATGAGGTGGTTTATCCTAATTTTAAGAGGAATAGCCAAAAGAGTGAGCCCTCCTCTTGCCAGGGTGAGGAAATCATTACGGCTAACACTTATTTCACCCTTGGAATGTGCCAGGCGGTGCTCAAAGCAAAAAATATATATATAATTATATAACTATATTTATATGTATGTAATTATGTATTTGTATAATTATAATATATTTATATGTATATACACATGTGTGTGTAAACGTATATATGTACACACATTTATGATTATATGTTATAATTAATATATCCAAATATATATTAATATTTATTATATAATATAAGTATAGTTTATTTAATCCTCACAATACCCCTATGCTGCAGATTACTATCATGATCCTCATTTTGCAGATGAGGTCACTGTGGCCCAGGGAGGTGAAGTGCCTTCCCCAAGGTCGCCCAGCGAGGAGGTGGGCGGAGGAGCTGGGACATGAACTCGGGCACTCCAGCTCCGGAGCCCGTGCTCTAAACCACTGTGCTATGCTGGCACTAAGGGGGTGAGGCACAGGCAGGTGCCCAACAGTTTGGTGTCCACTTCTCTGTTTCACTGGGGGGCTTCTTCAGGATCCTCTGGCAGGGCCTCCTCTCTACCCCTTCAGACCAGGAGCTCCCGAAAGGCGAGCGTGCCTGCCCACGGACTTACATGGCTGGCCCTGAGGAGGGCCTGCTCCTTGCTGTTTTTCACCGCCTTGGTCACCATCACTGGGGAGTAGGTGTCTTCTACGAGTTTCTCCTGTCACGGGCAGAGGGGAAGAGGGCTGGGAGCCTCTCCAGGCACAGCGGCGTTTGAAAAGGATTGGCAGGAAAGCCGGGCTGCAGAGAGACTTGCCGCTCCCTATAGTGGCAGTGACTGTTCCTTTCGTGCTTTCTGGCCATGCGGGTCTTTCCCAGTTGTCTGTGTCCAGCTTAACCTTCCCTCCCTCCCTCCCTCCTCCCTTCCCTTCCTGCCCCTGCATCCCAGCAGCCCTCTGGGATGGACCAGAACCTGGCCCTGCCAGTCGCCGGGCTGTTCTGTCAGTGTGAGTTTCCTGCACCTATCATAGCAGCCACCGTTTAGTGAGCGCCTGCTGTGTGCCAGGCTGGGCTCTGCAAGCCCCAGCTCCTCGAAAGCTCCTCGGAGCAACAACTCTGGGGTCGGGACTCTCATGGCCATTTTACAGGGGAGGAAACAGAGGCCCAGGCTGGCTAAATCACCTGTCCAAGGTCATTGCACAGCCAGTTCAGGGCAGAGCCTGGACTTAGTCTCAGGTTTGGTGACCTCAAAGCCTCTGCTCTACCAGGCTGCTCTCTCTCGCTGCCTCGACAATCTCTGAGCTCTCTGCTGACAGACATCCTGCTTCCGCTTCTTCCGCCTCTTCCCGGGGCGGGGGTGGGGGGGGTGGGGGGGAGGGGGGCCAGAAGGGGACTTCCTGCACCATTGTAGACCACCCAACTGCCTGAATGGCCGAGGGGCTGTGGCCCCACTTTAGCTTGAGGTTTATCAGAGCTGGGGGTGGTGCCCGCCACAAGCTGGCGCCTGGCAAACCCACCTTGGGTATCAATTCATAGATCCCGTACGTCGTGTAGCTGGTGCCGATCCAGATCCTCACATCCCCCGAGGCATAGGCCTTGATGCTGTCCCGGACTTGGCTGTAATCTTCGAGCTGCACACACATGTGGAGCGTGCAGTCAGCGTTCAGGTACTGCAGGGTCTCGGAGCTCAAGCGACTCTTGTTTACAAATAACCTGGGTCGGGTTGGGAGGGAAGACGGGCACGGTCTGGAGGATCTGTAAGGTCAATGCAAAGGACCAGAGGCCCTTTGTCCCCGGAGGTGAGAAGCAGCCTGTGCCAAGGAGCTGAGGAGACCAGATTTCCAGTATGAGGGCAGAGGTCAAGGGGTCAGGAAAAGCCGATTGGAGGCTGCCCAGAGGGTCCTGCTGGGGCAGGCGCAGTGCTCATGGGAAGGCTGGGTGAGTGGTGGGGCAGCAAGGGGACGGAAGTTGGAGGAAGTCCCCGACAGCAAGCCAAGGACAAGCCATACCTGATGAAGGAGTCCGTGAACAGTGTGTAGGAGTAGAAGAAGGGGTTATAAGGGATGTCACTGCTGCGCAGGTTGAAGAGCCCTGGGGAAAGAATTGATGGTGCCGGGTTGAGGCTGATTGCCTGAGGTGAGCACGTGCGACACCTCTGCCCACTCTTTGGCTCCCAAAGACTCCCAGCAGCAGGCCTGGACGCCTGCTCGGAGCGCTTCTCGGTCTTCGGCGGGCTCTTTGAGGTGCTGATGAGAGCTCTGGATCCTTTCTCCCAGAGGAAGGCAGATACCCAGCCAGCAGGCAGGACACTTTCCCAGGACAAGTTCCTAGGATGTCTGAGGCCTGGTGCCGGGGTCAGGCGAGAAGCTAAAGCTGCGGGTGTGAGCGCCCTTGGGTAGTGGCCAGGCTGTGGGAGCAGTTTGCTGGGCCTCTTTCCCTCCATGAGACAGAAGCCCTTGCTGCTGGGGTAGGTCCATCCCTCCCGTGGCCTGTGGGCTGGCCCCCACTTGCTCTGGGCTTCCTGGTTTCTTTCTTCTGCAGCCACGAGGTTCTGCTCCCGCCCTTCTTTGTTCTCACAGGCCATGGCCACAGAGATCTCAGAACCAGTGGGTACGTGGGGGTTGCAGGACGAGTCCTGTGCTGCATGGCCCAGGAGGCTTGGGGGTTGGGGGGACCCAGGCGCCCACCTGTGGCCATGCGTCCATACTCACAGGCTGTCTCATCAAGCGCTGACAGAAGGACGGCAGTCGGGGCCTCGCGACGCTGCTGCATCTGACTGCGGATGTCAGATACCTTATCCTGCCAGGTGCTCCCTAGAAGCGAAGGAGCCCAAAGAAAGTGTGAGTGAGGTAGCTTCCCTTTGCCATTTTGTTCCTGAGAGGGCTCCCTTAGGGCAATAGTTTTCCATTTCTTTAAAAGCAGTAGAATCCTTTCTCCAACCAAACTCTTACTCGTGTAGTCATTGAGGACATGGGCTCTGGACACAGACTGTCTGCATTCAAATCCTGGCTCTGCCATTACTAGCTGGGCGACCTTGGGAAAATTATTTAACCCCTCTGTGTCTTATTTTGCACATCTGTAGAATGGAGATGGATTATAATAAGAGTATCTACCTCAGTAGATTTGTTATAGGGATCAAATGAATTAATATCGGTCATGCACGTAGAAGGGTGTCTTGGCGTATGAGAAGTTTGGTCTAACTTTCTGATCAATAAATAAGCATGCAGAACAGAGATGAGGACAGCAACCCTAGTTGAAGGGCGAGAGGATGGGGCTGGGCCATGGTCAAGTGTCTCCCCTGCAGTAACCCAGTGCTTACTAAGCCACAGGTCTGGGCTAAGCCATTTGTCCATTGTTTTCATCCTTACTTGGCCCATTTTACAGATAAGGAAATTGAGGCTTCAGAGAGTGAAGTGACATGACTAATCTATGGTTTCATATCTGACAAGGGGTGGAGCTGAGATTTAAACCCAGGTCTGTTTGACTACACAGCTCATACTCCTTAGTCTGTACAGACATTGGGCTATCTTGCTAACATTCTCAATCTCCAAACTTGTCCGTAATCTCTGTGTCATAGAGCTGACTTTAGTTTGCATCGTTTATTCCTGCTCCCTGTGATGCGTGTAAAGAGCCTGTCCCCAGGCAGGGCTGGGATTTCCTGGCAGAAGGTCATAAGCATTAAGGGTCCCAGCTGGACCCAGAGATTAGCATAAATAACTTAATACCATTAAAAAAAACTGTATGCAAACGGGTGTGATACTTTTTTTAGGTTTATTTTATTTTTTTTGTAGTAAAACACACATACCATAAAATTGGTCATTTTAACCAAAGTGCACAGTTCAGTGGCTTTAAGAATATTCGCAAGATTGTGCAACCACCACCACTATTGAATTCCAGAACATTTTCATCACCCCAAAAGGCATTCCCCCCTCTCCCCAGCCCCTGGAAAACACTAATCTACTTTCCGTCTCGATGGATTTGCCTACGCTGGATATTTCATACAAATGGAATCTGACAATATGGGGCTTGCTCTGGCTGGCTCTTTGACTCAGAATTATGTTTTCAAGGTTCAAGGATGTGACACATTTTTGAGAAAACAGATGAAAGCAAATTTTAATTGTCTGATGCGTTACAGATATCTTTGAGTACTAACTTTTCATGCTCTTCCCTTTGCCCTTTGTCCCCCTATGACTCGCTGGAGAGAAAGTCTCTCTCGTCTCTATAAGCTTAGGGACTCAAGAGCTCTGTTCTTTGCCTTCCAGGCCCAGTTCTGGCTCTGGATGGCTTTTCCTTGAAGACTAACAGCCTGCGACAGCTCAGCATCCTCTCACTTGTGGGAGGGGACAAAACCAAGGCAAATTCTATCCCAGTTCCTGGTAGATTTTCTCCTTTATCTCCTCCTCTTCCAGACATCACTGTGCCCTTCTTGATCTGAACGGGATGAGTTTTATTGATGATTGAACAGTGTTGGGTAGCAAGTTTCTTCAGAAACCATGTAGAGATGCAGAAAGAATGATTCCGCAAGTTACATCAGGATGGATAAAGAAAATTGGACACAATTTTAACCGCTTTCATCAGACCTGCTATTTTGAAATTTCCCTCCTGCCTTTTTGACTGCTTTCCAAACAAGCGTGTGCATGGACCCGTGTGTGGAAAGGGGCCTCTCTGATTGCCCAATATTCCGAGGAGTCAAAGTCCATTGGCTCACTCAGGATTCCCAGGGAGGTAGGGGGTGGTGGTGGCCAAGACACTGATTCATAATTGGCAGCCTGGTCCTGGTCAGGATTTTAGTTACTTACAAGAATCATAGAACAGACTGTACTTTTATGACGTATTTAGATGGTGTCAACGGGGTCAAGATTATTCATGTTAGAATTTGGGGGGGTCAGTTAACTTTCCTTTGTAGTATGGCCAGAACTTGAACCCTAATTTGCTTCCTTTGTCCATCTTGGCCCACCCAACCCCAGCCACCTTAAATCTAAATTCCTCTCATAGAGGGTCCAGAAGTCCAGGTTTGAATGATTCAATACAAACCAGTCTCTACTACCAGACAATCAACTCATATTGTTTTTTCTCTCTTCAAAGGGTTTTTCTTTTTTCATCTTTCTTTGACTCCTTTATTTCCTCCCTTTCTCTTCCCTCTCACTTTAAATCCTAACACTCTTTATTCTAGCATTTTCTAAATATGGTCTGAGGACCTTCTGATTCAGACTCTCTTAGGAGAGGGGGCTTCGAAATCTTCATTCTAAACAAGCATCTCAAACTATTCGGGTTCACATGAAGGTTCGAGAACCATTGCTTTGGTACCTCTCAGGAAGAATTTTTCAGCCAAAGGGGCAGTAGCCGTGACCCGTGTTACTACAAGTGGGGAAAGAGAAGCAGCTTAGGAAATACCTATGAACGCCTCCTGCAGGGCATAAATGGGCTGGCTTGGAACTGCAGGCCTCTCTGATCCCCACACCAGATCCACGAGGTTGTCTGCGATGGACACCAGCTGTCTGTCAGAGGCTTGGAGGTCTGCGTTATAACTCTCCCAGGAGTCTGCAGAGACACGAAGGAGTCACTTGTCCCCTGCCCATTTACACCTCAGGAAAAATCGTGACAGAGGCAAAGTTAGTCCTTATCTGCTCTGCCTCCCGTTCTGTGCCTGCAGCTGTCCAGAGCCAGTCCAGGCAGTCTGGCTCTCCAGGGTATGTCCTCTGACCTTCCTCTCCTCTTTCTGCTTTCAAAGCATAATTGCCCTGAGCCCGCACCATCACCATCCACAGCCACTTGGCTAAGCTTTTCTTTTTAAGTGCCAGTGGCTGTGTGGCCCTCTTTTTGGTACTGCCAATTTTAACTGAGCTTCAACGTCACAGCCCAAAGGAATGGTGACATTCAGGCCATCAGAAAGGCTGGCAAAGAAGCCAGTTCTGAAATGGGTTCTTTCAGTACATATTCATGAGGTTTCCATCCTTGGGGACAGGCTGGCTAGCCCTGGGGTGGGGACTGTGCTTCTTTACTCAGAGGCCCTCTCAACTCCTTTGACCCTTCCAAGCTGCCTTCCAGAAGAGGGCAACCAAGTGATTCTAGTGCCCTAATTGATAGAGTTCCACGGCATGGAGGATGGTTCAGGGTTCAAGGACATCCTAGCTTAGTCATCCGCTAGACCTTAGTGACTCCCTGAGTCTTCTAGGTTGGGTCTCTGCATTCATGACTCAAAAAAAAAATCTGTATTCATTCTTTTAAATAGGTTTTCATTAAACAATCCATGAATACATCCTTGTTGCAAAATATTCTGCAAGTACAAGTTCAAACACTCTCTCCTGAGCCACCCTGCCCCTCCTTCCAACAAGGTATGCGTCTTTACACTGCGGGGGAGCTAAGTCACTCTCGCCGGCGCGGACAAATGCAGGACTGTGAGGAGAGCTTACCAATGGAGAAGAGGAAGGGGTCGAAGCCCACGAGCCCTCCAACAGGAACCTCAGTGAGAAGCCAGGTGACAATGTTGCCTGAAAGAAACACAAGAAGGAACAAAGACGTCATCTCCAGGGCCAGTCCCAGGCCCTCCAGCCAGGCTTCTGTCTGTGACAGTCCTGCCATGTGCTTCCTCCTTGATAGCAGCCTCAAAGGTTAGGGATGGCTTCAAATTTCCCAAGCTCCCCAGAGGGGCTCAGCACAGCCTTGCGTGCACCCCCTCACTTGTACCTTCCCAAACCTAGTTCAGGGTCCAGGGCTTGGGGGACAAATCTGTGAGCCCCTTTCACCTTCCCTATGGAGCTCCCAGTTGCAGTCCATCTGCCGCTCAGCCTGCGTCCAGTAGCGACTGTCGGTCCAGAGAGCTGCCTTCCCCATGGTTACCACTGCGGTTCCTGGGGGAGAACACAGACACTCGGAGGTGAGGCGGACAGTGAGGAACATGGCTTTAGTCAGTGCGTGTGCGTTACAGTGCTGGCTCTGAGAACGGGACAAGGGGCCTCTGGGAAGGGTTTCTCTCCTCTATTGGAAGGAAGTGAGGCAGGAGATGTTCAAGTGAGCGTTAGGGGAAGCCAGCAGAAAGGGAGCCCTGGGTCAGGCATCTCTGCTTTGTGTCGAGGGCCTCTGCTAAGGGGGCCATTAGGACTTTTACCAGGACCAGTGGGGTCTACTTTGGCAGTCAAAGAGAGTCAACGCTTCACGCAGGTGCTCTCAGGAAAGATGGTGTGGCAGTCAGTATCAAGACTTGGTGGCTGATAGGGACGCTAAGCCAGGGGCTTAGCTGAGGACAGGCAGAGAAGCCAAACCCAGCGACTTTGGCAAAGAGAAGAAGGGCCCATGATGGGCAAAGCAGCTTGAAGACCAGGGGAGGAATGTTTAAGGATCAGCAAAGAAGCTTAGATTTTATTCAACGGGCCAGGATCAGGATGGGAGCCCCTTCAGAAACTGGGACCCCATGAAAGGTCTCTACGTTTGTATTTCATTTGGCCATGTGAGGTGATGTTGTCTATAAAAGGACTGGCAAAGTAAAACTTTGTCCCCAAATGGGACCTTGTGTGAAAGGAATCAGCGGGCTCCTAGAGGCTAGGTATAGAAGCAGAAACTGTCCCAGAAATGGAGCTCCGGGAGTGCTAGTTGTGCTTGGCTGCGGCAGAGGCAGGGAGCATGGGAAGGAAGCCAGGAGGGCCGTCTGCCTTGTGCAGAAGTGTGGCTGGTGGGCTATGAGATGTGTGCCCTGGTGACCCTTTTGGGACTGGTGGAAGGCAGGCAGAGAGAGAGTAGCAGGGCCTCTGAACACCAGGTCCTGGGGTCCTGGCTGTTGAGAACTAGCCACACCAGGGCCTCTGTGACCGCCTCTGGGTTTACCAAGGGAAGCAATGAGGTTTGGGTAATGGCTGTCACCTGCAGACCCCGTAAAGCCTGTAATCCACGCACGCCTCTTGTCATGGTCACCGATGTACTCGCTCTAGGAAATCAACAACAGCTCCGTTAGCCTTCTTCATGGACTCAGACTCCACATGGAAGGCCCCCAACCGCATCCCAGTTCTTTCTGTCTGTGCAGATTCAACCAGTCCTACAAGCCCAAGCACGCTGGGCACCTCTTCCAGCAAACCCTCTGGAACTCCCCCAGCCCTCAGGATCTTTCCTTCTTTTGAACAACTATATTTCTTGGAGTCTAAACCCCACAGTCCAGCACTGGACTGTTCTGCAAAGGAGTCTTGTCTCCTTGGCCAGAATGCAAATTCTGGGCAGTCTGGGATGATGTCTTTTGGTTCATCCGGGCTCTCCTCTCCAGCTCTCCCCTTTCCTCCCCATCTAGCACAGGACACCGGGTACATCATAAATAACTTCTGCAGAGAGCTTTACACATTACTGTATTTTGATCCTCATAATCCTTGGAGCCAGATCTCAGCATTCCCATTTTGCAGAAGAGAAAACTGAGGCTCAGAGGAGTTCAGACACTTACCCAAGGTCCTTAGCCCTCCCTAGCAGGTGGGAAAACTAATTCAAGTAATCTCATTGACACCGAGAATGCTTTCTCCTCTAACCCAGATGTTGCTGGGAAGGTGGACAGAGTGGAGGTGGAACCAGTGGTGGGAAAGGGTGGGATTGGTGGGTAGGGGCGCTGCTTTGGGAAAGGCAATTCTTTTCTTTTTTTTCTGCTTTTTCTCCCCAAGTCCCCCCAGTACATAGTTGTATATTTTAATTGTGGATCCTTCTAGTTGTGGCATGTGGGATGCTGCCTCAGCATGGCCCAACGAGCGGTGCCATATCCGCGTCCAGGATCCGAACCAGCGAAACCCTGGGCCACTGAAGCAGAGCACCCGAACTTAACCACTCGACCACAGGGCCGGCCCAAGGAAGGGCAGTTCTTGTTCGGACCCTCTGGTTTCCTGTCTGCTCCTCCTCCCCCAGCCTACACCCCAAACTCGTGTAGTCCGAACCTGGGACTCTGGATCATTTCAATGCTTTGTCTATCAGGTTGTGGGCAGGGCTGGGCTGGAAGGGAGCTTAGAGCTCTTCCAGTCCAATTCCCAGCCCACATTGTAACCTCCTACGGAGGGGGCGCCCTAAACCCTCATTCTGGATCTGCCATCCAGGAATCGATTCTGAAGCTGTTGTTTCATTGCCGGAGGGCAAGGAAATTTGGCGGTGTCTTCTCTCCTGTGTAAAGGCATACATTCTTTCAGTTGCCCTAAAACGCCTGTGTCCAAGCTCCCCACTTCCTTCCCTTTGCATAGGCCAGCCTGGGGGAGCAGAGAGGGTGGGGTTGGGAGGGAAGAAGAGCTGTCCCTCACCATGTGGGCATCCGTGTCCGGGATGATGTAGGCAGAGAGATTCAGCATCTGTATCTGCTGGCGGAGGGCCGTGAGCCGCTCTGTGGTATTGACCGCAGTAACTGGAATGTACTGACGGGTGACAGGAAGGAAGACACCAAGACACACACACACAGACACACATTGTTCAGAGAAGATGATGCCTGGGCCTCCAGCGTCCAGAGGAGCCACCTGCCTTTCTGCAGGCAGGGGTTGGAGGTGGTAGGCTGGGCCGGCCTGGAGAGGGATGGGGTGGCAGCTGATGTTATGGGTTAGTCTAGATTAAGGTGCCTGGGCTGAGTGGTGTTGGGGGTGTTGAAGAACTTGGAGAGGGACCTTTTGTGACAGTAATGGGACCTGAGTCTGGGGTGGGGGGCTGAGCTGTGGCGCCGGGTCTGGCCAGGGGGATGGTCCTTCTTTGGATACCCTGGGGTAGAGTTGCCAATTTAGCGAATAAAAATACAGGACACCCAGCCAGTCACATCTGAATTTCAGATAAAGAGCAATAGCGTTTTAGTATGAGTATGACCCATGTACTATTTAGAGCATACTTACACTAAAACATTATTCATTACCTGAAATTCAGATGTAACTGGGCATGCTATGTGTCATCTGGCAACCCTACCTTGCGGGCTTTTTCAAGTTTCCACTCACTGGTCTCACATGCAGAGGAGAGGGAATGAGTATCCCCAGCAGTTTGGGACATTGTCTATAAAGTTCTTCTCCAAGCCTGACATTTTTTTAAAGGCTGTTTTAGCTTTACAATAAAAAACGTGGGGTTTTTTTGTTTGTTTGGTTGGTTTGCCTTCTACTCAACGATATATCCGTGTTTGCTTTGATGTAAACATAAGGAGGTTTGCCCGCCCACCTGCCTGTCCCAGTGGTCTCATAAAGTGGACATTGCAAGCAGACGTTCCCGGTGGGTCCCGAGGCGGAGTGAACTGCTGTCACCTTCCGGCCCGCCCCTGCCTGGAGAAGCGCTGCCCTGCTCTGCTTGTGGAAAGATCACTCTGCTCTCCAGGCAGGAAGCTGGCGCCCTTTCGGCTCCAATATGCCGGGCGGGCCTTCTCCCAGTCTTCATACCCTATGCCTCCCTCTCTTGCCCTTTCGTTGCCCTCTTTCTTCCTCCCTCCTCCCTTCTGTGCCTCCCTCTTACCCTGTCCTTCTAGAACTTTTCTTTTCTTTCTTCCCAGCCTCCTCCTGGCCTCTGCCTAGCCTCAGCCAAAGGCTAGCTAGGGGCTTCCTGCCCTCTTTCCCTCACTTTAGCGGGGGCTGCCCAAGCCCGGCCCGGACGTAAGTAGTTAACCTGCTGTGGGAGAGGGTGGGAGGGAAGCATGTGGGGGTGGATGTCAGACACCTGAGAATGTGCTGCCTGCCCTGAGGGATGTTAATCAGAAACAGGGGCCCCAGAGTCCGGAAGCCAGGAGAAGGGCTGATAGAGGGAGAGGCTAGCAACCCAGCCAATGCGGGATGGGGAGGATGATGGGAGCTTTAAAGGGTGGCCTGCTGGGGCCCCGGTGGGGCCAGGGCCTCACCGGAGGGCTGGTGGAACAGTTTCTCACATCCTCTCGTGTCAGGTTCGCTGCCTTTGGGCGGCCCCAGGTACAAGCTAGAAATGGGGAGAAAAATCCAGGGTCACTTGGAGACCAGATAGCTCCTAGAGAGTGCAGGGACGTGTTCCTCCAACCCCCCTCCCTGTCCCCGCAGGGCCTCCATTGAATCGCGAGAGGCTGTCCAACTCTACTTGAGGATGAAAATAATCACGTTTCATGGGAAATCAGGCCGAACTGGATGGCACGCTGGGTCACAATCAAAGAATCCTGTTTCATTGACAAGCGATTGCCACTTTTGCATGGGTTTTAGTTCTCATTAAGTCAATTTTCCCTTTCTAATCTAATTGGGTCTTTTCAGGGTCTATCGACCTGGAAAAGTTGTGTGTAAATTAAATTTTTCTAATCAGATTTTCTTTGAAATGCTCTAGAGGATCTTGCTAAATAATCATCCCCACCTTAGTTTTACCCTTCTTTAAATCTAATTTTATATATATTGAGTTTACTTAAATGCAAAGCCCACTCGTTCCACTTCTTACCACCCAAATCTCTGCCTATCATTCCAGGCTCATTTTAAATATATAAGACAGGTGATCCCAGTCCAACATGGTCGCCTGGTGGGGAAAGGTGGGTTAGCATTGAAAGAGCTCCTACTATGTGCCAGACACTGCACTCAGCGATTTATCTGCAGTGTCTCGTTCGATGCTTGTCGATACTCATTCGACAATGCTGTGAGGTGGGTATTCTTGTCTACTTTCTAGAAAGAAGGAAGCTGAGGCCTAGATAGATTTGGTAATATGCCCAAGTTTTGCCATGGTGAGTCAGTGGTAGAGCGGGATTTGAACCCAGGCTGTCTGAGTATAAAAAGCCGACCGTGGAAGGGCGGTGCCACAGAAGGGACAGACTGCATGGAAATTCGGTTTCCAATTTGGGTTCTGTCTCAAATTTGATGTGACCTAAGGACAGTCACCCCGTATTCATGGAGCAAACCTTTTGTTTTGTCTTGTTTTGGTGGGGGGTCTTCCGGTCAGGATGGGAAAAGCTGCTAGACAAATTCTAAAAGATCCGTAACACTGAGGAAACATTTTCTAAGTGCTTACTGTGTGCCAGGTACTGGGCTAAGTCCTATGGGCTCTGGGCCTTCCCGCTGTGAAAGTTCAGTGGTCTCTGATAGTTCTTCCGTCTAGTCCCCCACCTTTTAGGGGTAATCTCCTTAGAGGGTAATGGGGGTCTGAGTTTGGGGAGACACTATGCTTTTACCTTCTGGGCGAGTTGAGCTGCCGATGGAAGGAGGGTGGCTGGGTCTAACACCGTGAATGCCCTGCCTGGCTGTCTTGGTCTCATAAACTCAAGGGGGAGATGAGACCCTTACTGTTGATGCAAGAAAATAAACCCCCATTTCTGTAGGAACGGATCTCTGGCAAAATAGTGGGGCTAAGACACCAACACAAGAAGCGGAACACAGCCACCCTATGTCCTGCTGGACATCCAGATCTCCTGCTCTGTGAGGCCAGGGCTGTGGCTCCCGAGGGTAGGCTCTGCAGCCGAACCACTCTGTGGCCCCTGGCACAGGGCCTGGCACTGGGGAGGTCCTCAGAAACTGGGTGTGGAATGAATGAAGAGAGTCCTACTGACAGAGAGCGAAGGGAGGGGAGGCTTCCCTAAGGCCAGAGGTGGAGTGGGTATGGAGGGTGCTGAGCTGGGCACTTAGTTGCGACCAAAGAGGACAAACAGGGCACTGTAGGCGTGACAAAGACCAAACTTAGTTAGGCTCCTCTGGGTCCTCTTGTCAACTAGGCACTCCGTGTCCACCCTGTCTCTGCCGGGCCAGCATTGCCCAGTCTTAGCAAGAATCCTGCTAAGTCAGTTGAGAGAGCATCCCGCACCCTTAATGTCTGATCATCCTGGATATCTGATCAAATTCCTCATCGCCGGCCCTTGGGATCTGATCAGCTGGCCTGCCTATTAAGTCGGTTTAGCAAGACTCTCCCTGCCCTTGATGCTTCCCCTTGGTAATTTTCCATCCACTGACCCCCTCACTCTTCTCATTGGCTATAAGTCCTCAGCCCTCTTCTCTGTATTCAGATTTGAGCCCAATCTTTCTCCCCTATCACAGTGCCCCTATGGCAATAGTCTTGAAGAAAATCTTCCTTACTGTTTTAACAAATGCCAGAATCATTTTTTCTTTAACAGGTGGGAATGGAAAGGTGCCAAACCAGACTTCACCTGAGTCTTGAGGGCCCCAAGGGCTGGGGTTCCTCTTCCTCAAGACAGACAGGGAGACCAAGAGAAAAAGAGACAATCTGGGCCCCAGCCCTCACTCCAACCCTTTCTGAGCCCAGAGGGGAAGGCCAGAGCAGCTCTCCAGCTGGCCATGCCCTCCCTGTTTGGGAGGGGGAGGCTGGGATGCACATACCACAGAGAAGGACAAGCCAGGGGCAGCAGCCCCAGCGAGCCCAGGCCATGGGATCTCCAGATGCCGGTGCTTGGGTGGATGGAGGGACGGGGGAGAGTAGGCAGGGCTGTTTCCCTGTCCTCTTCTTCCGGGCCTTTCCGGGACAGGAGCAGCCAGGGGGTGGGGGCAGGCGATGGGGAGGAGGCGTTTGGCTGGTGGATGGAGAGTCCCCCCTGGTCTTTTGTTTCTGAGGGCTCCAGGAGTCAGGGTGGCGGAGAAGCCTCGGTTGCCCCAGGCAGCCTCTGCTGGCTCCCAGTCGCCCGGAATAGGGTGTAAGTCCGCCCCGGGCAGAGTCCAAAGATCTCCAGGACAGAGGAGCAGCAGCTGGTCTCAATCAGCCTGCTTCTCCCAGCCCCCTCTTCAGCAGCCCAGCCCTAGCCATTCCCGAATTCTGTCCACCTCCCTCCAACAAGCTGTTTCCCATTAGTCCCCCACCCTGGGCTCTGGCTAAGCCCCACCTTTGCTTTGAGATGGATGTTTATCTTTCCTCCTCTGAGCCGGCCAGTCTCAGAAGAAGGCCGCATCCTCTCTCCTAGTGCCTGGGAAGCCCCACTGCGCCCCTGGGGAAGTGGCTTATAGCCGAAGAGTTCCTTCCTTGAGCCGGAGGGAGTCCCCTCAGGAGAGCCCACTCTGTAAAGGTGCCAGCAGCCACAGGTGGAGGGGAAGGTTGCCCTTCTTTGTGGACAGCAGGTTGATGGAGTCCCCTTTGACTGCGTGTCCTCCACTCTGGGAGATCTAAGCTGTTGGTGCCATCCACACCTGAGAGAGAACGAAGCCCCAAAGGCCTATTTGTTGGAAAGAGGAGATGCCGCTGAAGAGGGAGGAAGACCCAGAAAAGGGAGTTTGGAGGCTCCCAGAAGACAAATTCGGTTAACTGGACAAGCCCTTTCTGCCATATCTTCTAGAACAGGGCTTTGGTTCCCCTGCAGAGCGGGTGGCTCCTAACCGGCATCCCCGTGGGGAAGTGGAGGAGCTGAGGCCAGCCCGTCTCGACACCCACCCACATCGGAGGGCAGCTCGCTGCACCAGCGCCAAAGCAGCTCCTGGGACATGCCCTCCAGAACCCTCGGCCTTATGCCCCAGAGAGGAAGGCTTCTGAGAGACAAACAGATCCAATGGCTGGGTGCTCACCTAGCCTGGAGGGCCCCAGAGGCAAACCCCATTCCTTCTTATCTTATTTTTAATATATTTACACCCTGCTCATGTCCACAACAAGTTCAAGGCAGCTTTCAAATAATCCATCCAAATACAATAAAATCGACCATTCTGAAGAGGAAAAGGAGGCCTTCCTAGGCCTCACTGAAGGAAGGGAGTCTAAATGAGGGAGGAGGCTCAGTGAGGTCCGTGTCCAGGAATCACAGAGGAGGGCAGAGCCCACAGCCTCAGAGGACAGACCAGGGACAGGGACTGTGGGAACCCGGTGTGCTTCCGGGACTGCTGACGCACCTGCTGTCTTTTCCTTGCCCTCCTCCCGTTCCAGAAGTGGGAATGAAGTTATTCCCAGAGACCAGACGACTGGGGAAATGCCCCTTCAAAGGCCTTTCCCTCCCCTGTGCGCTGGATTAGCCACCCCGAAGGGCAAGCGGGCAGACTTGATGGGGTTGTGCAGGGGCAGGACCATGAAGACAGCCTTTTAGGACAAACAGGCCTGCCTTCGCCAGTGAGCCTAGGAGCCAGTCTGCCGGGGTTTCAGTCCCAGCTCCGTCACCCACTTGCTTAACGGTCTAGGGCAAGGGACGTCACTTCTTGGAGCCCACAGTGTCCTCGCCTGCGAGATGGGGTCTTAACAGTACTAACTTCTTCGGAGTGTGATGTGGATTAAGTGGGTTAATGTTTGTGAAGCTGTCAGAACGTGCTTGCCATGAGTAAATGCTATCTAAGTGTTTAAGTCAAATACATAACTAGAACTAAACCCAGTCTCATGTGTACCTTGTTCTTTCCGCCCCTGGCATGCAACCCTGCTGAAACGGCAGTTAATGCTGCACCGAAGATGAGCCGGGCTGAGGCGCCACGCCTGGGAGCAAATGGCCGAGCGGGCCTCCCTCCCCCACCTGCTGAACTCTGCCCCGGGGATGGTCTCGGGAGGATGCCTTCAGCCTCAGCTCCTCCTTATCTCCTTATCTCAAAACTGCCGTCTTTACTCATCAGTCTGGGGGACTTGAACCCAAGTTGGCAGCAGGCCTGAAGTGGGAAGAGGTGATTCAGCGTGGGGAGGGTGAGTGGCCAAGAGTCCTGGTATCACAGTTGTTTGGAGAACCCTAAGTCTTGCTGTGACCTTCACAGGCAGCTCATCTCTGCCTGTCTCACTCTTGGGCCCAAGGCTAGCCTAAAGGCCAAATTCTGAAATTAGATGACTCGTTCTTCAGGGTCCCTCCAGTCCACACCTCCTTTTTTGCACCTGATCCCACCCCAGGCTTGTCACCCTGCCTTCCTACCTGGGTTTGCCCTCTCTGGGCACCAATGCCTACCTAACTTCTACCAGAATGCACCTAATTGACTTGCATTTTCTCCCAGTCGGTGACAATAGGTGTCCTGAGTCACGGTTCAGATCATGATTACAACTCATTTCATGTGTGTGACTGAGAGAATGCATGCAAGGTGACCGGCGACCAAGGAGCTCTAGCACCAGGGGCCATGAGCTGCTCTGCTGTGGGACCCTCTGGACAAGTGGAACCCGAGGAAGGCCTGAGAAGTGTGATGAGAGCCAGCAGGCCAGAGCGGCAGAGGGCATCCTGGCAGCCTTGGGGAGTAGCAGTGGGGCGAACATGCGCAGGAGGGGCGCAAAAATGGCACCCCAGGCAGTGCTCGTCAGGGGAGTCAGTGATCAGGGGACAGATTGGTGGCAACAACATAAACAGCAGCCTGAGAGAACACAGGCAGGCAGCGTCACGGCCTGGAGCAGCCATGGCAGCAGGAAAATCAGAGACGCAAGGGGGCTCTGAGCACTGTGAAACACCCCACTGGGCATGTCCCAAGATCCTGAGGTTGAAACCTCAAAAGGGGGCCTGCAGTTATGCAGGTGGGAAGGGACATCGGATCTAACTGTCGAGGTGACCTCAGAGGCTCAGAGACTGGACACCCTTGGCCACATGGACATAGCACGTGGCTGTTGCTTCCACAGCCCCTTCCCACCCTTCTATCAGGCTTGTCAACCATGCTGGGAGACAGGTGGAGTGTCACCTGCAGAAGAGGAGACAGGCTTAGAGAAGAAAAGTGGCTTGGCCCGCGTCCAAGCTGTTTGGTGGCAGAGCTGGGACTCAGACCTGAGACCTGGATCGGGGGTGCTTCAGAGCCCCTGCTCCTTCCATTGGGCCTCACTGTTGCCCCCATCTCAAGTTCCTCCATGGCTCCCACTGACCTCAGGACGGAAGTCAATCTCTTCAGCCCAGTGGTCAAGCCCTTCCTCCCTGATATGTCCCATTGCCCATCTCTTCTTGTCCACATTCTCTCCATCCATCAGAGTCTAGTTCAAAAGTCACCTTGTCCGCCAAGTCCCAACCTCCTTCTCAAATTCATCCCTCCACCACGGGGGCTCCCATAACATTTTGTTTGAGTCTCTGTTTTAAAACCTTTGCATTAACCCTTTGCTTTCCTGACCCTCCCCTCCTAGGTCACCCATCCCTGAGGGCAGGAGCTTGCTTTTATAAATCTTTGCATGCACCAAAGCATCCAGGACAGTGCCCAGCAAAGAGTGGGCTCAACGCAAGTTTGGTGAATTGATGCTAAAGTCCAACAATGTGTGGTCCAGCCTCCTCATCCTAAGCCGAAAGCGCCCTGATAGAGGGCGCTTGTCTAGCGCCAGAAGGCTGCTGTGGTCCCCTTGGGTGTCCCTTCCATCACACCTGCCCCGCTTTGACAAAAAGCCAGTCCTGCTTGGGTCAGGGGTGTGTGTGCGTGCGCTCACACGCGTAGGGAGTGGTCACAGGGGAGGGAGCGAGAGTCCGTTTCCTGGAAGTTGGTCTTTGCTGTGATGCAACCCAGAGCCTCACTCCCGAGCCAGGCAGGCAGCAGGAAGGGGGTTTATCCCCTGAGAGCGAGGGTTGGACTGTCCTTCGCTGTGGTTGGTGGAGCCAGTGGGCAGCTCCTTTCCGGCAGCTCCCCAGCTGCCTAGGACTCTTCCTCCCATGGAATAAGTTGGTGGTCATGGTCCAGGAACTTTGTTAGCGAGACCCAGTGGGCCTGGCTGGAGCCCTGTGTGATCTAGTTAGCTTGGTTCGGTTCTGTGGGCACAGACTAAGTCAGATCCGAGCCCGGCCTGAGTCTTAAGCCCAGCCAGTCATGTCACAAACCTGTGCTGCCCCCTCGGAGGCCTTGCACTACTTCAGGATGCGTGGCTGGAGCACCACTGTGGCTCACCAAGGTTCCGCTCGATGCCACTCAAGCCTCCATTTGGTGGTCCTTGGGCACTCTCCCAACCATCTGTCCTCTTCAGTAGTCTGATCCCTTTACTTCTCTGCCGTTTTATGCCTCTCTCTTCACCATCTCCACTGCAGCCACACTGCCCTGCTCTCAGTCCCTCTTACTTGACATGCTCCCTCTACCACAGGCCCTTTGCCTCCACCTGCAATGCCCTTCCTTCCTCTCTTGCCCTGTGAACTCCTTTTCCTTCAAGTCTCACCTCAAGTGACACTTTATCTGGGAAGCTTTCCGTGACCCGCTGGCTAGGTCAAATCCTCTTATTAGTCCTCTTGCTATCTGTGTCACAGTTCCTGTCGCCTGCCGCCCAACACTTCCCCAGTCATGGAGAGGAGCACAGCAACCAGTTCAGGGCTGCCTCTCCCCCACACGTCTGCCAGTACCCTGGGTGACATCAAACTTCCTGTCAATGATCCATCTTCAGTCCTAGTTCTTCAAGTTCAAAGCCCCTCAGTTCAAAACCCTTTCTCCTTTACTCCTCCTCAGCCTCCCACATGGAAAGCAGCATCTTGGGCCTCATCGTTGCTTGGCATTACTGTTCTCTGGTGAAATGAAGTCCAACCTCCCATTCTCCAACCACATCCTCCTATCCTTCTGGCGATAGTCCTCTCTCCCTCACTCCTATTACACCTGCTTTTTGACCTCGCTAAAACTTCCTGTCACTTGCCCTATGTTCTTCCTCTCCATTTATCAGCATCTCCTGGTCTCACTTCCTTCCCTATTTGGTCCAAACTACATAACTCATCACTCCAATCTCCCTTTTACTAGCATATTTAGTGCTCCCGTCCCTTTGTCCTTATGCTACATCCACCCTGCCAATTTCTATCCTCAAGTAAAACATGCTGCCACCCCAGGGCCTTTGCACATACTGTTTCCACTAATAAGAATGCTCTTTTTAAGCTTCTGCAAGGCAAAAGAAACTATAATCAAAACAAAGAGACAACCCACCAATTGGGAGAAAATATTTGCAAATCATATATCTGATAAGGGGTTAATCTCCATAATATATAAGGAACTCACACAACTGAAGAGTAAAAAAGCAAACAGCCTGATCAAAAAATGGGCAGAGGAGACGAACAGACATTTTTCCAAAGAAGATATACAGATGGCCAATAAACACATGAAAAGATGTTCAACATCACTAATCATCAGGGAAATGCAAATCAAAACTACACTAGGATACCACCTTATCCCTGTTAAAATGGCTATAATCACTAAGACCAAAAATAACGAACGTTGGAGAGGGTGTGGAGAGAAGGGAACCCTCATACACTGCTGGTGGGAATGCAAAGTGGTGCAGCCACTATGGAAAACAGTATGGAGATTCATCAAAAAGCTGAAAATAGAAATACCATATGACCCAGCTATCCCACTACTGAGTATTCATCCAAAGAACTTGAAATCAACAATCCAAAGAGACCCACACACCCCTATGTTCACTGCAGCACTATTCACAATAGCCAAGACATGGAAGCAACCTAGGTGCCCATCAACCAATGACTGGATAAAGAAGATGTAGTGTATATATACACAATGGAATACTGCTTAGCCATAGAAAAGGATAAAATCGTCCCATTTGCAACAACATGGATGGACCTAGAGGGAATGATGCTGAGTGAAATAAGCCAGACTGAGAAATACAAACACCAGATGATTTCACTCATATGTGGAATATGAACAAACACTGGGACAAAGAAAACAGTTCAGTGGTCACCAGGGGAAGCGGGGTGGGGGTGGGCACAGGGGGTGAAGGGGAGCACTTATGTGGTGACAGTCACGAAATAACGTGCAACTGAAATCTCACATCAATGTAAACTATTATGAACTCAATAAAAAAAGAATGCTCTTTTTCCAGATATCAGCTGGCTCACTCCGCTTCATTCAGACCTCCGTTCAAATGTCACCTCTGCAGAGAAGCCTTCCCTGATCTCCTTTAAACAGCACCTCTGTTATTCTTTATCCCTTTACTCTGCTTTATTTATTCTTCGAGAGCGTTTACTTGATGTTATATTATACATCTATTTGATAATTTTTGTCCATCTTCCCCACTAGTGTGCAGGCCCCATGGGAGCAGGGACCCTATTTATGTTGTTCACCCCTGTATCCCAGAGCCTAGAACGCTGCCTGGCACTTAGTAGGTACTCATAATATTTGTTTGATGCATGAGTGAACTCCAGGGCATTTGAACCATTTGTCTTTCTCCACAGGAGAAAATATCACAACTCTGTGGGTTGGAGTCACTCCAGATTCATGGTGTCCAACCTCAGCAATCTCCCTGATGCTGCTTGGCAATCCTTTTACTTGTCCTGGGTCAGCTCCCTTTCCTGCTGCCCATGTCGGCAATTCTGATCTTTACCCTGTCCTCAAACCCCTACCCTGCCTCCATTCCATGACTGATGGACTTTCAAGTTACTTCCGACTTTGCATTATTTCAAACAGGTGGCCTGAAAATATGTGCACA